GTTCACTGAATCGGCAAATCGAGTTTGATACGCAACTAATGATAGGCAATTGAATGACAAATTGGAAAAATTCTGTGTAACGCGTTTCGACATCTAGAACGACTTCATCAGAATAAAGTAAATATATAAACGCAAAATAGATCTTTTACAAATCAATACAATTAACCCATTCATCGCCCACCGGAATGAGTCCGACCCTAATTCCTATTTCAAAATTCTTCTTCTTCTTCTTCTTCTTCTTCTTCTTCTTCTTCTTCTTCTTCTTCTTCTTGTCGTCTCCCTTCAAAACGTGAGCGATCATGTCTCTCCATAACTTCCTGTCCATTGTAACCTATAGCAAATTATATATTTTTGCTATATCTCCCAATCTTTCATCTAACAATTGAATGACAAATTGGAAAAATTCTGTGTAACGCGTTTCGACCTCTAGAACGACTTCATCAGAATACATTAAATATATAAATATAAAAGAGATCTTTGACAGAACAATACAATCAAAGCATTCTGCGTACATTTCACATTAATTTATTTCAAATTACCTGATCTCCAGAAGCTTTAGACGTTAAAAATCTTGCATTAAGTAACTTGCAACGGGTTGGTAAGCCATAGAAAACGAATAAATCTTCTATGCAGTCAAGAATATCTTCTGTGATAGTCAAAAATTTGATGCCAGTATAAAGAATTTGGCCGCGAAATTTAGTGTCACAGAGCCAATTTCAATTTCCGGTCGACTCTGTTTCATTCCCTGAACACTAAATACTCTTGTGAAAGGCATGAATCTATATTTCCCTAGAAATGGATTAAATAACAAGGCGCAATGGTCTCTTTTGCCTTTGTTGGTAGCTAGTCTAGAGAAAGAAAATATTGAATTGTAACCTAAGGAGATGTGTTCTTTGATTTGTGCAATACCAAATAGTCTGTTATATTATCAGCTCAGAATGCACCGTTTTCTGTAGATTTTGTTTCGTTCCTTGCTTCTAAATACTATTTTAAAAGGCATGAATCTATCTTCCCCAGCTACAGAGTAAATAGCAGGGCATACTGGTCTGCTCATAAGTTATTTCAAGAGGAGATGGTCATCGCTGTGTGAATGCCCTTGATATCAAAATACCATAAGCCAGTAGTTTTTGTTGTTGTTTTTGCCCGAGAATTTGAAGCCGTTAGTTACTGACCAAAATGAACTAAAAGAAAAGGAAAAAAAATGGTCTTATTTAAACAAAGAACATAAATCCTTTCCGGATATCGATCCAGTGGACCATTCTTTAATATCTTCAGGCACTACCCCTTCCACTTTCTAAGTGACCCGTCCTTCAGGCCAGTGTCCACTATTTCTTTACTTTGACAGCATTAGTGGCTACCAATAGCTATATTACAAGATTGGTGTCTTCAGAAGCATGACAATGAATTTCATTCATTCATTTGCGACCAAGTGGGCGTTAGTTCGTGGTGGCTACTGGCCAGAGAATATCCTTTGGCAGAGCAGCGACAGCAGATATGTACTAAGCAATGACTAGCAAGTACTATTCGCAATTGGTTTGCTATTGTCATCTTTGCTTTTGTTATCACAATGTTTCGCTCCTTTTGACATCCTCCACCATGACCCGGGGTGGTTACACCTGTTAGGGTCCCAGCTATGGGCAAATAGGTAACTCCTAAACTGATGTAAAAACACTATAAAAGTGTAAAAATAGCTTTTAATACCAGAAATGCATCGTAAAAAATTATTACCAGTAATAAATTTTTGAAGAAAAAAAAACTATTACCAACAATACATTTTTGAAAAATATTACCAACAATGTTTTTAAAAAAATAAATATTACTAGAAATACATTTCGGAAGGAAAAATATTTCCAGAAATAGATTTTTGACAAAACAAAATATTACCAGCAATAAAAATTTTGTTGGCATTAAATAACCCATTGAGGTTGATATGCCGTAAAACAAAATAAACCAAACCAATCTAAACCAAAGAATACATATTCTATCCATACGAATCTATCCTAAAAATGTTGTCGGCATTAAATAAGCCATTGAGGTTGATATGCCGTAAAACAAAATAAACCAAATCAATCAAAACCAAAGAATACATACTCTATTCATACGAATCTATCCTAAAAATGTTGTCGGCATTAAATAAGCCATTGAGGTTGATATGCCGTAAAACAAAATAAACCAAACCAATCTAAACCAAAGAATACATACTCTATTCATAATGAATCTATCCTAAAAATGTTGTCGGCATTAAATAAGCCATTGAGGTTGATATGCCGTAAAACAAAAATAAACCAAACCAATCTAAACCAAAGAATACATACTCTATTCATACGAATCTATCCTAAAAATGTTGTCGGCATTAAATAAGCCATTGAGGTTTATATGCCGTAAAACAAAATAAACCAAACCAATCTAAACCAAAGAATAAATACTCTATTCATACGGATCTATCCTAAAAATGTTGTCGGCATTAAATAAGCCATTGAGGTTGATATGCCGTAAAACAAAATAAACCAAACCAATCTAAACCAAAGAATACATATTCTATTCATACGAATCTATCCTAAAAATGTTGTCGGCATTAAATAAGCCATTGAGGTTGATATGCCGTAAAACAAAATAAACCAAACCAATCTAAACCAAAGAATACATATTCTATTCATACGAATCTATCCTAAAAATGTTGTCGGCATTAAATAAGCCATTGAGGTTGATATGCCGTAAAAAACAAAATAAACCAAACCAATCTAAACCAAAGAATACATACTCTATTCATACGAATCTATCCTAAAAATGTTGTCGGCATTAAATAAGCCATTGAGGTTGATATGCCGTAAAACAAAATAAACCAAACCAATCTAAACCAAAGAATACATACTCTATTCATACGAATCTATCCTAAAAATGTTGTCGGCATTAAATAAGCCATTGAGGTTGATATGCCGTAAAACAAAATAAACCAAACCAATCTAAACCAAAGAATACATACTCTATTCATACGAATCTATCCTAAAAATGTTGTCGGCATTAAATAAGCCATTGAGGTTGATATGCCGTAAAACAAAATAAACCAAACCAATCTAAACCAAAGAATAAATACTCTATTCATACGAATCTATCCTAAAAATGTTGTCGGCATTAAATAAGCCATTGAGGTTGATATGCCGTAAAACAAAATAAACCAAACCAATCTAAACCAAAGAATACATACTCTATTCATACGAATCTATCCTAAAAATGTTGTCGGCATTAAATAAGCCACTGAGGTTGATATGCCGTAAAACAAAATAAACCAAACCAATCTAAACCAAAAAATACATACTCTATTCATACGAATCTATCCTAAAAATGTTGTCGGCATTAAATAAGCCATTGAGGTTGATATGCCGTAAAACAAAATAAACCAAACCAATCTAAACCAAAGAATACATACTCTATTCATACGAATCTATCCTAAAAATGTTGTCGGCATTAAATAACCCATTGAGCTTGATATGCCGTAAAACAAACCAAACCAAACTAAACCAAACCAAACTAAACCAAACCAAACCCTTTTGACCTCTGTCCTTCGTCAGTGTAAACATCACGGAACCCTTTATTTAATTGTCTCGTCCTGCTGTCCTAGTTTAGGGATACCTCGTTTTGCAGTTTTCAGGAATGCTTGACCTGGTTGCATTAAGCCTGTACTACCCAGCACAGGAATTGAACCCACAATTACTATGACAGCAAAAGCTGAGCATGCTTTAGCGGAAAAAGAATTTAAAAAAGTCTAAAGCCAATAAAAATGAAAGATGGACGATATTCTATTTGGTTGATTCATCACTAAGTTCAATTTTCGTTTATGAAGTTTATTTTTCTAAAAATAAAATACATTTATATTTTACTATCCAAATCCCTGTCTCCCGAACATTTCTCTTAAAAATTATAATTTAAAAATAATTCAGAAGACGATGTTATATTTATTTATGGTAACTGCAGTTTTGGCGATTTCCTTATACGGTTTCCGTCGTTCAATACCGTGCGTCTGAAAAATGACACGTTTATCGCGGTCGTCATACTTCTAGCTCTATTATCTAGGATCAAAGTGTAGTATCTGTCCTCAGGCGGATAACCTGCTTTTAATTTCTCAGTTGTGTCTATATCTTTGGACAGAGCATAAATCAGTTGTGTCACTGTTTTCGAACAGAGGGCAACTGAACATATGACTGAGTGATGCCCGGTTTCGGCAAACAGCTGTATCCCCCCACCCACTTATTTCAATGAAGAGATGGGATCGGTTATCATACCGCTGCCAGCATAACCAACGGCTGCGGGGCAGGGTTATTTTTTTGGGATCTGGTCAGGTGCACGCGCCCGGACTCCCCATATAAAACTTACCTTGAGTCCCATCCTGCCAGCGAGGGACTGCAAAAATATTATTCGTCCTCGGCTTTTTGACTAAGATCAAAGTGTAGTATGTGATCTTATCAGCTTAATCTGATTTTCTCTCTTCCCACTTCAATCTTTCTTCATTTCTTTCTTTCATTTTCTCACTGAAACCAAGTAGTGTCTTTGCCCGTCTTTCGAATATAAACGGAATATATGTACGGCATAAGGGCTATACGAACTAACGAAAGAGGTGACAAACACATTTATAATGGGATTCAATTATATATTTACATTATTTGCAATGACTTGCGTCCAATGACTTCGTTGGGCTTCTGAGTAAAATTTCGGAGATTCAAAGTTTTCGAAGCACTCTTTATTACAGTTTCCCCATCAAAACATTTTACAATCCAAAAAAGTAATAATCGCTTGGTACAAGGCCAATTGAATATGGCGGGTAGAAGTGGATGTAGAATACATCAGCCGAATTCTAAAATATTTTCCTGGTGGTGGTGATGGTGGTGGTGGTGACGCTGCAGTACCACCACCAATAGCAGCAGCAGCAACAACAACAAAAACAAAAAAGTGAAGGAATCTGTGCAAGGGGAACAAGAAGAAGCATTATATAAAGAGGACCGGAGTTAAGCAGATAGATAGATAGATAGATAGGAACAGACTAAAATAGATAGAGAGATAAGAAGAGATTGTGATAGATAGATAGATAGATAGATAGATAGATAGATAGATAGATAGATAAAAAGAGATTGTGATAGATAGATAGATAGATAGATAGATAGATAGATAGATAGATAGATAGGAACAGACTGAAATAGATAGAGAAATAGGAAGAGATTGTGATAGATAGATAGGAACAGACTAAAATAGAGAGATAAGAAGAGATTGTGATGGATAGATAGATAGATAGATAGATAGATAGAAAGATAGATAGATAGGAATAGACTAAAATAGATAGAGAGATCAGAATAGTTTGTGATAGATAGATAGATAGATAGATAGATAGATAGATAGGAACAGACTAAAATAGATAGAGAGATAAAAAGAGATTATGATAGATAGATAGATAGATAGATATTAAGAGGCTAAAATAGATACATAGGAATAAATTGAAATAGATAGATAGATAGATAGATAGATAGATAGATAGATAGATAGACAGATAGACACTGATTCGTTTTCTATGGCTTATCAACTCATTGCAGGTTCTTAAAGCCAAAAAATATTTTAGATTGAAAGATATTTTTAGAGATAATTATGGTTTTAGTGATACAATTCTTACTAATTAATCCATAGCTGGAGGAAGAATAGCTGGATTTATACCTTCCCCAAGGGTGTTTGCGCGTAATTGAATATAACGTACCCAACTGAAATTGGAACTCGGTCCTCCGTTAAATAATACACACATCCAATTTTACAACACCTAGTATTCCCACCGCTCTGGATACTGACCAGGCTAAACGTTGCTTAACTTCAATGACCTATAGGAACAGATGTTTCAATGTTATGTGGCCGTTAGTCTGGAGTGCTTGAGTGGATTGATGGCGGAGCAGTGTTTGGGAGAGATAGCAAAAAGAGACAAAACAGATACAAAAAAGAGGAAATTGTGGAGAGCCACGATTGCCAAAGTCCTGAAGAGATCCGGCACATCGAAGAAGAAAATGAATGAATAAGATTACAAACGTTCTACACACGTTGTCAACCTTGCCAAATATCGACGTATCATATTAATCACTTTCGTATTTATTAATGCATACAAGCTGACACGGTCACCCATAAAATGGAAGAAAAACAGAAGGACAGAGGGTAAATAGATAAACCGGAATATGTTAATTCTTCTTATACCCTTGACTGAATTAGTGACCCCCCCAGAGAAAAAATATCGATCATTTCTCTGCCATTTCATTTGGTCATCTCCCTAGACGTCTTTCGCATGGCAACGCTCCTTCAAGCACAAACTGACCCTTCGTCTACAGACAGTAGCCAGTATGGTATTATTTTAACATCAATTAGAGAATAGATATTAATATTATAACACAGAAGCTACGTACAAAATACTATTTTTCATCCTCTCGTCTCCAGTCAGGCTAAAAGAACTGCCGGTTCATTCGACCACTGCAGGAAGCTTCTGTCATAGTCTATCTTTACAAGAGTCAGAACAAAAGTGATAAATAGTCCTTTCTTCTCACTTTCTTAAAGAAAAACAAAGAATGAAGTTATTTTTGTTTACATTGCCTCAGGAGCCACCTAAGATAGAGGGTTACAAAGTAAGAGGCACAGTTTATGGGGATATATGTCTTTAAATAATTGTCGGACTCTGTCCATTTCATAATGTGTGACGTCATTTGTTTACATTTGATACGCCACGAGCAGTTATGAATGTACGTCTGAGATTCATAGCAGATTGAAGTTTATAAGCAGTAAATTCGACCTTGCCAACCCAACGATCCTTTGTGGCCGAGAGGTAAGGCACGTCAGGCTATATGACGGTTCCGTATAGGATACAGGTTCGAATCCTGTCGAAGGACGAATATTTTCTATGAAAATTTCTCGGACATTCAGGCCGGTAAATGTTATTTAATACTGTTTATTATAAACAGAGCATTTACTTAAATACTTGTATCTATAAAAAGAATGTTAAACATAAAAATGTCTCTCTATATAAACAATTATTTATTTAAATATATGATTCCTTGGCTACATAGAGTTCTTACGTTTCAAAACAAGAGCCGAAAACTTCAGTAGAATTATTAGAATTAAATAAACAGTATTTCTCGGATATTCAGGCCGGTAAATTTTATTTAATACTGTTTATTATAAAAAGAGCATTTACTTAAATATTTTTATCTATAAAAAGAATGTTAAACATAAAAATGTCTTTAAATAACGGTTAATTTTAGATATTAATTGGTGAAGATTGTAGTGATCGGGTAAGCGTCCACTTGGGAGACGGTTCCATAAAGAATGGAATATGAAGGGAATGAAGATGATTCGCTACAATGTGCGTAACATGGCGGGTCTTAGGCGTGAGGATTACAATTGGTGGAACTAAGGAATGTCGTTCTGCTGAACACTTTCCATGGAACAAGCGTTAGAGAATCGAGAGGATTGCAATGTCTCGTCTATGAGAAAGAGGCTGCATTAGAAAATAATCCATCGCCTACAAAGACGTGGAGAAACATTTGAACTTGAAATTGAAGACTGGGTAGATCCTGTCCATATATGGCAAGAGTACATTTTGGTATGATCTGGCTCTTGTAAAGGTAAAGGATAACAGGAAGAGTCAGGTACTTACAGGAGTCGAACTGAGGACCGATATATATATATAAAAGAATTATAAATTATAAAATGTTATGACGGTGATGTTTCCGCACGATAAATTTTTATCACCGTGACGGTTCCACGCGATCAACATTCCTCGAGCGGGACGTTCCCTGAGGTGAGCGTTCTTTGAGCGGAACATTCCCCGCGGTGAACGTTTCTCGTGGTGAACGTTCCTCGAAGTGAACGTTCATCGCGGTGAACGTTCACCTCGAGGTGAACGTTCCTCGAGGTGAACGTTCCTCGAGGTGAACGTTGCTCGTGGTGAACGTTCATCGCGGTGAACGTTCCTCGAGGTGAACGTTGCTCGTGGTGAACGTTTATCGCGGTGAACGTTCCTCGAGGTGAACGTTCATCGCGGTGAACGTTGCTCGTGGTGAACGTTCATCGCGGTGAACGTTCCTCGAGGTGAACGTTCATCGCGGTGAACATTCCTCGAGGTGAACGTTGCTCGTGGTGAACGTTCATCGCGGTGAACGTTCCTCGAGGTGAACGTTCCTCGAGGTGTACGTTCATCGCGGTGAACGTTCCTCGAGGTGAACGTTCATCGCGGTGAACGTTCCTCGAGGTGAACGTTGCTCGTGGTGAACGTTCATCGCGGTGAACGTTCCTCGAGGTGAACGTTCATCGCGGTGAACGTTCCTCGAGGTGAACGTTGCTCGTGGTGAACGTTCATCGCGGTGAACGTTCCTCGAGGTGAACGTTCCTCGAGGTGAACGTTCAACGCGGTGAACGTTGCTCGTAGTGAACGTCCATCGCGGTGAACGTTCCTCGAGGTGAACGTTGCTCGTGGTGAACGTTCTAGGCGGTGAACGTTCTAGGCGGTGAACGTTCCCCGTGGCGAATGTTTCTCGCAGTGAACGTTCCTTGAGTTGAACGTTTTTCGAGCTGAACCTTCCGCGCGGTGAACTTTCCTCGAGGTGAACTTTCCTCATGGGCAAATTGATGTTGGTGAATTTGCTTTTAATCTCGGATATGTGTGTGTTTGTGTATGTGCAGAGAGACTTAACATATACATTTTTTTCATTGGGACAACTATAAAGATAGATAGATAGATAGATAGATAGATAGATAGATAGGTAGGTAGGTAGATAGATATATAGATAGATAATCAAATAAATGTACCTAAAACTATAAAAAAAATATTACTACTAATTTTAATGTTTAAAAAAAAATTTTCAGCTGTTTTAGGTTCCTTTATTTGAATATATTTATATATGTGTGTGTGTGTGTGTGTGTGTGTGTGTGTGTGTGCAGGGAGAAAGAATTAACATTGTGTCTGTAGGCAATAAACTATGGTTACAATGTTCACTAGTCGACCATGAGAGCAAGGTTCAAATCTCAGCATGGTCGATTTGCCCGGAAGGCGAGTTTGATGTTATCAGTCTTTGAGGGGTGATCACAGCGTGCGTCTCCTTTGGAAAGTGCCTAAAACTCATACCATAAATTGACCCAAGCTTTTTAAGTGACATTCTGTAGACGGAACTGTTCGGAACACCATCGATGGCAGAAAGTCTCAAGACATCGTGACCGAGAGTTTGAGTGTACTTGAATTGTTCAAACCGATGATCATTATCCGCTGTCTCCGAAAACTGCAACAATGGTCCGCCTAACATCGTTGCTATATATATATATATACCGCAGCTGAGCTATGTAGATGTTGAACAGGCGTCTACGACGGGGATTGGCTAGTCGCCAAATAGAAGGATGTGCTCGGAAAACGAGAGCAACTGGACGTGTATAATATCAGAACAATTTCATTAGTTAAATATAAAAATGTTTTGAATGAAAAAGATATAAATCTAATGAATTTATTGCTTCTTTGAACAACGGCAAAAAGACAGCGAGTGAACAAAATGAATATTCATTGCCGGCAAATGCCGCGTTTGTCTTGTCCACACGTGCTGAATCTTGAATTATAGTTAAAGGTCAATATAGTTTGTGGACTGATTTGGAGGTGGTTGCTATTTCTTCAAACTATATCGCGATGTTTATTTTTTTTGGGGGGGGACCTATTAAACCAACTTGCATCAATGATCTACCATGAACCCCAACATATATGCACGCACATATATCTCGTTATTGTATTTAATTTTTGGCGAAAAAGATATTCAGCAAATAAATGAATAAATTAAAAGAGTGCGAAATACTATTTTTATAAAACAAAAATGTAGGTCAAATTAATATCTATCTATCTATCTATCTATCTATCTATCTATCATATATATATATATATATATATATATATATATATATATATATATATATATATATATGTGTGTGTGTGTGTGTGTGTGTGAACATTCAACACTCAGAGCCGACAGAATTTTTCATACTAGACGCAATTATCAAGCCAGCGTCTAGCATGAAACAGTCTGTCGCCTCTTAGTGTTGACTTCGATGTTCACTTTTTTATTTGCATACGCTCTATCTCTGCTATTGAGGACTTTATTTCATCAATATAGCACACCTGAAAACTATATTTATTCATATATATATATATATATATATATATATATATATATATATATATATATGAAATATATATAAGATATATGCATATCTGAAGTTGATTAACTTTTATAGATTTTTCGTCACTAATATCACATATCCGAGTGTCAAGCGTCGGGTAGAAGTTGAATAATTTCAATATTGATATTTAAACCGTACTGTAATGATAGTGAAATAGTTAATTTATTTACAGGTTGTGTAATAATAATAATAATAATAATAATAATAATAATATATATATATATATATATATATATATATATATATATATATATATATATATAAACATATATTGTTAAATATAACATATAATATAAACATACATTCAAATATTACACATAATAAATGCCTTGACCGCTTAAGCTACAAAGAACCAATCGGTAGACAAATGACGTCATACGAAAAATTTGAAAATTTCTCGGACATTCAGGCCGGTAAATGTTATACGTCAGCGTATATGACGGTTCCGTATAGGATGCAGGTTCGAATCCTGTCAAAGAACGAAAATTTTCTATGAAAATTTCTCGGACATTCAGGCCGGTAAATGTTATTTAATACTGTTTATCATAAACAGAGCATTTGCTTAAATACTTGTATCTATGAAATAACAACGTTAAACATAAAAATATGTCTTTTAAATAATATATATATATATATATATATATATATATATATATATATATATATATATATATATCCCGACTTAAGATAATTGGATGTCTTGCCACGCTGTCTGTCTATCTGTCTGTGTATGACAATTCATATTCATGCCCTGAAATAATTATTTCGATTGAGTTCTTCAGGGAGAAAAAGGAATTTTAAACAGTGACTATTACTGCTGCTCATACAAGACTCTTCGTTAAGACGAATAGAGTTCTCCTGTCACTGGTGTGTTTGTCTAAAAAGAAACACGTCTAAATTCACCTTCATCCCTGCCGTGCGCTAAAAACTTAGGGGTAAAATCTCCGACTGATACCAGATCAGTCGTGTTTCAATCTCGGCTTGAGGCAATCGGATGTCTTCCCACGCTGATGAGCTGCGAATCAGCGAAAATGTCTCTCTGTGGATGACAATACACACGCACACTCTCATATATATATATATATATATATATATATATATATATATATATATATCAAGTCGACTCCCCATGAAAAATTATTACCTGTAGAACAACATTTCCGCCTGGAAAAACACGATTTCAAAACCCATGCCAAATTCCCTATAATTGAGAGAATAGAAAAGTTCAGAGCAGATAACATTAGAAAGATTTTAGAGTCCCATGAAAATAAGTGGATACAACGTCTAAAAACACAATATCCAGCCGGGCTAAACCATAAATTTAACAATATAGATAATACTAATATATAACTCAACAAATCAAAACCTACCCACATTTCTCACCCACACATGACGGACATGCTTACGGAGGTGTGGAGGCTTCACACTTATACACACACCCACACGAATATAGACACTTACACACATCATACTCACTCACTCCCTAATGAGCCAAATGATAACACACACCCACAGCAATATACACGCTTACGCATATCATACTCACTCACTCCCTAAGAACCAAATAACACACACACACACACACACACATATAACAGAGACACACCCCCTTTCCAGGAACCAATAAAACTGTCAAACTGACCAAGGGAATTCAGAGAAGCATAGATCCATCCAGCTCTTATCTCAAATAACAACTTAAAAGAGACTGTTTGACCAACACAAGGAATGTTAAAATTAAAAGATTCATGTTAAAAAGATAAAAAAACTAAAAAAAACTAATGAAAACTACAGACAAAAGTTAATTTTCTCCATCAAGACATTCATTTCTGTAGTTTACTGCTACCAGCAAGCAGAAATATTTCTTCTCCCGATGATGGCCATTTTGGCCGAAACTAGTCGAGGAATCTAAATGAAATAATAATAAATAAAACGAAAGAATATTAATCTACAACGCAATGTGTCTGAAGATTTTAATTTTTTAATATTTTTTTATTGTTCAATATATATATATATATATATATATATATATATATATATATATATATATATATATATATATATATATATATATATATATATTAAGAAATGGACAAAGTCCGACAATTTATTTATTAAAGACATTTTTTTATGTTTAACGTTCTTTTTTTATATATACAAGTATTTAAGTAAATGCTCTGTTTTATAATAAACAGTATTAAATAATAGGATGCAGGTTCGAATCCTGTCAAAGGACGAATATTTTCTATGAAAATTTCTCGGACATTCAGGCCGGTAAATGTTATTTAATACTGTTTATTATAAAACAGAGCATTTACTTAAATACTTGTATCTATAAAAAAAAAAAAAAGAACATAAAATGTCTTTTTTATATATATATATATATATATATATATATATATATATATATATATATTATATATATATATATATATATATATACACCGGGTGTAAAACCAAAATTGTCCAAATCATGTAACAGCCTGCGATAATTGTCCATTCCACAAAATGTTTAATATCTAAAAAGACTAATTGAGTTTCTTTTCTAGTTTTTCAGATAAGACGTTTGGCCATCTTGACACCATTTGTCGTAAGAATCACTGAAAAACCCTTTGAGTTATTCAGCTAGAAAGAGAACAGGTTAAAATCGTTTTGTGCCAGCCCAACTATGTCTTCCTAAATGAGCAATGGTGAGAGGAAAAAGATCACTCAGGCTTTCAATAATGGTACCAACTTTCATACTCAAGCTTCCATCTTGAAATCCCATTCAAGAAACATCAAGAGAATGGTTAATAAGTTAAAAAAAAGGGGGAATAGTAAAGAGAAAAACTGGATGAGGAGGTCACAATAGCAAGAGGGATGATTATTTCAACTTAGAACTAAATACATTCCTATTGCTCAAAGTAGAGTGCATAGAGTTTTATATAAACCCGGTCAGAGCAGAATGAATCCATCCAGTCCTTATCTTAAATAACAACTTAAAAGAGACTGTTTGACCAACACAAGGTTCTGACCAAAATTCATGTTAAGAAAAAATAAAAAAAAACAAAAACAAATGAAAACTACAGATAAAGTTCATTTTCTCCATCAAGACATTTATTTCTGTATTACACTGCTACTAACAAGCAGAATTTTTTTCTCTCCTGATGATGGCCCTGTTGGCCGAAACCAGTCGAGGAATCAAACTGAAATAATAAAAACGAAAAAATATTAATATGCAACCCAGTGTTTCTGAAGATTTTAATTTTGAATATTTTTATTGTTCAAATCATATATATATATATATATATATATATATATATATATATATCCGTTAGTATAATCCAGGCGATTCCTATTAACACAACATAGAATTTGAAATGTGTTAAAACTGACTCACAAAAGAGGGCTTAATGTTTATTTTCATTAAACGGAGCAAATTTTCGTAACAATTGCAATTACGATAATAAATGATCATTTTCATCAACGAAATTTAATTTCAATTTTAAAGTTGAGATTCGTAGGTGAAAATGGTCATTTACTAAAGGTATCGTAATTCCAATTGTAAAAGTATATATATATATATATATATATATATATATATATATATATATATATATATAAACTTATAACTCTGTTTTAAAAGCACTTCGATGGTGTAATGGTTCGCAACCTTGTCGCGCTACAACTGAATTTACTGTGAATCCCAGAAAAAAACACACGCCGGGACCTTTATATGAAACACCACATAGTAGGAACTGATATTAAGCTAACAAAAATCCTAGCCCGACGTCTAATTCCGAATCCAGACCGCTTCCTCCGAGATAAGATACCTGACGCCCCCAACAATCGCTAACACAAAACCCATTCCCATTAACAAAGCGCCTCCGAGAAACTGGCTTTGAAAAATACACAAATAATCGCTCCGAAGACAAACACTTAGTGGCTGACGAAGGCCGTTAAAGGACGGTTTGAAATAGTCTATTCCGATGTTGAGGTATTTTTTGTTTTTTGCTGTCAAAATACATATGCTCTGTTAAAATAAATACATCAAACTCTCTATGGATCAATTTTAATAATCATGTTTATTAGAATCCACCCGGATTATATACCAACGGATCAATTACCTGTACTATATATGTGTGTGTGTGTGTGTGTGTGTGTGTATTAAGTGATTATATTAATTGATTATATTACTACGCATTTCAGACGATCCCAATACAGAGAATTGGTGCACAGCGTGACATCAGGTCCTTATATGACTCTCCTCAGGTTTTGAATACGAAGTTGTCCTTCCAGACAAGACTATAGGGCCGGATCTCTCCCGCAATTGGAACCATACCTGGAGGGAGAAGAAGTTAATTCATCCCTTTCCCAAGGTTATTTACGCGTAAAAGAATGAAATGAACTCGACTGGAATTCAAACATGGCTTTTTGATTCCTCAATCCGAGCCTCAAACCATTACTCCACGGTGTGTGTGTGTGCGCGCGCGCGCGCGTGTGTGTGTGTGTGTGTGTGTGCGTGTGTGTGCTATACTTTGTCTCTGTTTTTTTTTATCAATAAATCTTTTTTATGTAAAAAAAATCACATAATCTAAGAATAACATCTTATAATCTAAGAAATTTTATAGCTTTAGATGACTTGCAAAAGTTTGATAAGCCATACAAAAAGTCAGTCAATCTGTCTTTATATTTCAACTAGCCGAATTATCCGGGCCATGCTGCGTGTCACACAATTTTTTGTAAGAAAATGATGAATGATTTTAAATCATTGTTATAATTTGTGGAGAAAAATTATGTATTTCAATATTACTCAATGATCTTGCCAATGTGTCCTTCATCTTCTGGCTTTCTCCTTCTATATTTTCGATAGGAGTCATTCCATTGTTCAAATAAAATTTAATTGAAATCAAAGGGAAAAATTTCAGTGATGGATATGTGGAAAAAATAGCTTGATGTTATCCCTTTGATATGTATTTGATGTAATACTTGAATGAATTGATAAGCAGATTTCAACACAGACATGACAATTAAATTGTCGCAACAAATATGGATTGTAAGGCACTACCCACTGATTGGTGATTTAATGCAAATACTCGTTACATCATCAAATATTACTTTCATCCAATTCGCCACCCGCCATGATTGTTTCTTTTTCGGACCTATTCTCTTCATTTTCTTCTCTTTTATGCTGGTTTTCGTTTGACTTATTGGTAATCCTTCACATAAGCGGTGTAAAATAAACTGTCAAAGTTCCACTCCACTTACATGGCGTAAAATAAATTGTCATCTTTAAATGTTTTTTGATCATAAACATCAACATGGCAACGTAGCCAATGGCACCCTGGCCATTGTGTAATCGGTGGTATCGAACGGGATTCGGGAAAGTTTCTTAATTGAAGCGCCTCGTTGACAATGAGAAACTCTGCAGCAGGCGATTGTGTGGTGTATCCAGCCTGGAAGGCCCACTGTTTCAGATGGCTGGGCTGCTTATCCTGAAATCGAGGAAATCTATCACGGGAGAGACTCTCGTTGTTCCTAGGCAGCATTTTGCGGATCCTGATGATGATATCATCTATACTGGAAGGGTGGAAAATCTTTGAATGCACCTCAAGCGTAAAAAGCGCTGACAATTTGGAACTTCTGAGGCGTTGTTCATATCGCATCTTCAGGAATTCGTATGGCGTCAGCGGGAAACGAACCGTTCCGTGTCTTCAGTATTTATTTGCTACGTTGTCCACCATTATCCGTTGTATTTACAGTGGCTTGCAAAAGTCTACACTCACTTTTGAAAATTTATATATTTTGTATAGTTTAACATGGAACAACGCATTTTTTCAATTTCAATGATTGTTAAATAATGAGCAGATCCATCACACTTTCCTTTGATAGAAAAATTACATTCGATTCCTATTGGAGAACACATTTTCTACAAATTTTCCTGAACATTCAGGCTGGTAAATGTAATTAAGGCTGTTTATTTTTAAAAAACAAAAAAAAAAAACAGAGCATTTACTTAAATTGTATACACCCTGTTTGAAAATTTATATATTTTGTATAATTTAACAGGGAACAACACATTTTTTCAATTCTAATAATTGTTAAATAGTAAACTACATGAAAAGTATGAAAAAATCAATTATTTCTACTATCGATGGGAGTTGGGAAATGCAAAGCCGGTCTTGGCCTTTCCGCTAACTTGGAGCATACGCATGTAAATTTTGATGCTAATCCGTCGAAAATTGCGGCTGTGCATTCGTTACACACACACAAACACCCTGCCTTTTATAGATAGAGATTTACTGCTAAATAAAAATCAGACTTGAATATCCTGTGTGTTAATTCCATATATTTTGCCAGGGGCTGTACCAATCTTAATTCGATAAAAGTTGTTTTTTTTTTCTTTTTAAATCACCCACCATTCTAATGATGAACAGCTAAAACCTTTTTGGCCTTATTGACACAAAATATTTAAGCTGACGAAAAATTTAAATAATGACGACTGTTGCTACAAAGACCCATTTTTCTTTTTTCTTCTATACACCGTGTCTCTTCAGGATGTGCACAATGGAACCTGCGGCAACAGAAATACGGTTCTACAGAAGGAGGCTGAGAATACTATACACTGAATATATAAGCAATGATGAAAAAATGTAAACGAAAAGGATACCAATAAGTAGCAATAGAAAAAGACAGTTGAAATTTCTTGGGAGCATTAAGATCAAAGAAGGCTTGGAAACATTGACACTCACAGGACGTACCGAAGACAGGAGGGTTAAAAAAAAGTAGTGCAACATCTACGGAACGAGCATGTGTAAAGGGTTAGATGAAAGATTGGGAGATATAGCAAAAATGTATAATTTTCTATGGGCTACAATAGACAGGAAGTTATGGAGAGACATGATCGCTCACGTTGTGAAGGGAGACGACACAAAGAAGAAGAAGAAGAATTTTGAAATAGGAATTAGGGTCGGACTCATTCTGGTGGGCGATGAATGGGTTAATTGTATTGATTTGTAAAAGATCTATTTTGTGTTTATATATTTACTTTATTCTGATGAAGTCGTTCTAGATGTCGAAACGCGTTACACAGAATTTTTCCAATTTGTCATTCAATTGCCTATCATTAGTTGCGTATCAAACTCGATTTGCCGATTCAGTGAACCGAACTGATTTCGCACCTGCGGTCTTTCAGGGGAAAAAAATTAGAAATTCTATCCAAGTTGTTTGACTGAAATCAAGTAACATATTCTGAGCCCTCCAGCTTTTCAACAGATTTTAGCTTTAAGATGAGCTTTGTGGAAACTTCGATTTGATAAATATTAAACAATATTTATATCTAATAAAATTCGTAAACACAAAAAAGACTTCATTATTTTCAGATCAGCATCAGTAAGAAATTTCACAGAATGCAGAAAACACAGAAACAAGATCTCAGTTTAACAAACTCGACCCAAATCAAATGCTTCGTTCCTCCCCAGTAAAACAAAAAAAATATCGATCTTATGGTCACTTAGGGAGTTCTCCCTTTTCTTTCCTTTCTTCTTCTACTTCTTCTTTTTCACACTGACCGTTTAGCAAGGACAATGTCCACTACTGCTTCTACTGTTCCTACCAACACCGACCAAAACCACTAATATAATAACAAAGAGTACCAAATCACATTCCTGGTGACCCACAATGTAATTCAACCAACCACCCCCCAAGACCCAATGACACAAATGTATGATGGTCAGTTTTTGCCCACGGACTAACCAAGGGTTGGACAATACTCTGTACCAATACAGCGACATCAATTCCATACTAAACGCTAGTGACCAATTGGAACCAAATAACCAAAGTACCAACCGGAAGAACAAAAGTATCAGGTTTTGACTAAAATAAATGCACTATAATTACAGCAACAACAACAATAATAATAATAATAATAATAAGAAGAAGAAGAAGAAGAAGAAGAAGATATGATCGAGTTGATGATAATGAACTCGAAAGCTGATGTCGACAGAGAGTGTAAAAGTAAGTGGTAAACAGAATAGTCACCTTGACATTTCATTGATTCGGATATAGTACGTTTGCGCAGAGAGCAACTGATAAGTGAAACATTATATGTATTAACGGAAATTCATGAAAATTCAACAAGTTCAAATCTATTAATAGTAAGCAATCACCTAAGTTAAGCAGAACACACATATATATATATATATATATATATATATATATATATATATATATATATATATATATATATTAGGTCTGACGTTATTATTAGTGGATACCCGTATTTAACTAGACTCTCCGTCTTTTTTGGACAGTGTTTATTTTGTCTCCCGAATGTGTCCTCCTTTAATATGACTTCTTGTGTGCGGAGTTTGGTAAACAAAATAAATACCGTTTAAAATAAATGTAACGTCTACTCAAATATGAGTATCCAGTAAAAATAACATTTGAAGTAATAAAATATGTCGGATTGAAAAAAATCCATTCATTTCCTCACTCACTCTCTCTCTGTCTGTCTGTCTCTCTTTATATATATATATATATATATATATATATATATATATATATATATATAGATAGATAGATAGATAGATAGATAGATAGATAATAACAGCTTCAAAAAACGTCGAAAAATAATACAGAATTTATCTATTTCAATGTTTCAGCTAGACGTAAAGGACGGAAGGAAAGGGAAGAGGTTTTATAAAATTAAACCTTATGACATTAAACTGGGGTTAAATGATGTGTACTAAATATTTGTGGTTAAATACTAATTATTTGCTCTGCAATAATAAATACATTGAGATCTTTTTGCGGATTAGTTTTAATATTTTATATTACTAGGATCTACTTGGATAATATACCAACGGATTTATTACCTTTACTATATATATATATATACATATATATATATATATATATATATAATTAATTATTTAAACATATGATTCCAACACGCTACATATGAGGTCTCATGTTTCAAAACAAGAGCCGAAAACTTCAATATAATTATTTGAATTAAATAGAATTAAAGTAAGCTCAAATAATTCAAATAATTATATTGAAGTTTTCGGCTCTTGTTTTGAAACATGAGACCTCTTATGTAGCGTGTTGGAATCATATTTTAAATAAATAATCATATTCATGCTCTACTTTTGTATCGAGCACTATTTTTTAAAATAATAACAAAAATACTAAAGAACTTTGGATTATTTACCATACCAGTTCTTTCCTATTTTCTATATATTTCACACACACACACACACACACACACACACACACACACACACACACACACACACACACATATATATATATATATATATATATATATATATATATATATTATAATTGTTTAAACGTTACTATTAGTGGATGCCCATAGTTGTGTAGAAGTTTTGTTTATTAATTAAAAGGAATATTTATTTCCATCTGCCGGCTTGAATATTCCAGAAATTTTAATAGGAAAATATGCAATCTCCGTCATTTTCTAAGTTTTTTCGAATATATATATATATATATATATATATATATATATATATATATATATATATATATATATACACTATCTCTTCTAACAGCAGACATAAAAAAATTGATCACTTGTTTAAAAAATCATCTGATTATGAGGTAACCTTGATAAACTAAATCATTTTACTGACATGAAAATGGCGATTCAAAATCTCGTGAGAATTTCTGTGATTTGAATAAGATTTTTAGAGCGGCACAAATAATCTTAAAATAAATAATCTTTCAGTGATCATTAATTTTTTTTTTCTAGAAATTCATAATTTTGGGTATGGCATTTCCGTTTTGTATGGCACTGATGTCGCTGAGCAGAAATAATAAAATTATTGATTGGTCAGCGAACAAAGCCAAATGACCGGCACATGTGAAAGTTGACACGTGTCGCTGATCACGATTGATAAAAAGTGGGATGGTCGTAAACGCAAGGCTGCAGTGAACAAGCCATCTTCAGTCATGGTTGAGACATTATTTTTCTTCACCTTAAAAAAAAAGAAGAAAAGAAATGAAAGAAAGAAAAATAAGGTAAAGAGTATCAAATTTAACCTTTGAGTATTTATTAATAAAATAATATTTTTTTCGTCAATTAACGCGTATAGTTGATATTTCAATACCTATTATATGATATTTCACGTGGGAACCTCGAGGTGGTATAATGGTTAGCAAGCAAGGATTGAGTAGTGAGTTCGATCCTCACTGGGTGCCCCATACTTTCGGCCTTGTGCCACACCTAAGCCACTGTATTTCCCGTAGTGGTTAGAACGCTCACATTCTGACCATGAGATCCGGGTTCGAATCTCACCATGGTCGATTTGTCAGGAAATAGAATAACTGGTGGACTGGAAGGTGGTCGACCCCAGCGTGTGATATGTGCCTGAAAACCATACCACGGGTTGACCCAAGCTTTGTAACTGATATTGTGTAGACGGAACCCTTGGAGGATGTTGATAGCTGAGCAAGCACGAAGTCAAAAGATATCGTTGCCGAGGGCTTGAGCGTGCTTGCCTTGTTCAAATTGTTGCTCACG